AAGAGCCATCTCAACCAGAGAAGACAGACAGTAGTGTCTTTTACTGATTAGCTTCCTTAATAGTTGTGCGAATATTCCCCTGCTCACACATCGTTTGATGTTTCATTTATACTACTGAACATGCAGGTATTGAATACCTGGCGGTATTTAGCTCAGCCCTTCCTGCACAGATGTCTTTATTTACTAGAAGGGAGCAACAGCATAGAATACTCACAGCTTTTGCAAAGACCCCCATAAGCTCTGGGAACTGATGTGTCAGGAGGGCCAGCATGGCTGTGAAAGAACAGAGTCCAGCAGTGAAGAGGATGAAGAAGGGAAGTTCTTTCTTGGGGTAAACAGAAACTTCATGAAATGCTGCAGAAAAAAAAGATGGGAAGGGGAATGCATTATACATTGAAAAAAATCAAAAACCAGCAAACAAACAAAACAAACCCAACATTTTTATGGGTTTAAACAGTCAGAGACACCCAAAGATGCTTTTGAAGGAAGAAATACATAGAATCATGGAATCAGCTGGGTTGGAAAAAACCTCAAAGATCATTGAGTCCAACCCTACCATGGTTTCTAGATCATGGCACTAAGTCTATTATACATTGAAAAAAATCAAAAACCAGCAAACAAACAAAACAAACCCAACATTTTTATGGGTTTAAACAGTCAGAGACACCCAAAGATGCTTTTGAAGGAAGAAATACATAGAATCATGGAATCAGCTGGGTTGGAAAAAACCTCAAAGATCATTGAGTCCAACCCTACCATGGTTTCTAGATCATGGCACTAAGTCTAAAACATCTACATGGTTACTAGATCATGGCACTAAGTCTGAAACATCTAAGGTCAACATTATTGTTATGTCAGTCATCTCTGCCAAGTAATTCTCATCTAAAGATCACGTTTCTGGCTTACTCTGGCCCTGTGTCCATGATACTTTTGCCTTCCTTGTGTCAGCACTAACTATAATGCAGCTGGGCAACAACTAATCCCAGGAAACTAACTTAGAAATAAACATCCATATTTTATGCAAGTCATTGACTAACCAATCACATGGCTGCATATTTGCTAATAGTGATACCCAGAAATGCAGAAAAACATGCCCAGGAGCAGCAGTGAGACCAACCCTGCAGAAGCATGGCTGCAGGCTGGCTTAAGTGGGTTGCAAAACTACAGCCTTTGTAGCAGTAAATTCTGAGAGTTTAATCTGCAGAACCAAGAAAAGTTATGCTAAAAGTAGGACATATAAACATGTACTTTAAATTCAGACTTTCAGAATTAATAAAATTAATTAAATTAATAGTGAATTGTTAAGGTGTTGGCTAATTTACACTGATAGCAATACAGAAATTTCCTTGACTCTGGTATGAAAAATCCTTCACTGGACTCCAAAGAAAGTGGCACTGAAAAGACTAGAAGGGTCAGAAGAGGATAATGAATATTTAACCAGAAGAATATATATCCCTTAAATTTTTATGGTGTCTCAGATTCAAGGTGAAAATTTGGCTGGGTTGGCAAAAGGTCTGATGGAATATTTCCTATCTCTTTCACTCCTTCAGTCTATAGTTTGGAGCTAAAGTCATGATAAATGCAAACTTTGAAACATTTTTTCTCATACAGGACCAGCCTCAAGGCTTCCCATGTACTCAAATCCTATGGCTATTCATACACATTATTCATACAGATACAAGAGTAATGAAATATTACTCTTTCATTTTGCCTATTTTCTTTGCTTCAGTGATCAGCTCTCATCTCATTGTACTTGCAGACAACACAAGCACAGGATAATCCAGCAACATGGCAGGACAATATTCTTGACTGCATCTATTCAGA